TAAAACGGTATGAATTCCTAGGAGTTAAGTTGGTGGAAAAACAGTTGGACTGAATGGATATACTGATGTGGAAATGTGGAAGTATAAGACGACGAATCGTGTATTCAGGGTGCAATCTCCGAGCATAACAATGACCTACATGCTGCGACTTCTCCTCCTCCAGTATTTTAGCCATCCGAAGCTCCGTTTCAAGTATTTGGTCGGCATCGAGGAGACGAATGAAATCGGAGCGTTTCATGCCATAGGCGTGGGAGTGTTCGATCAATTCCTGTCGCTGCTCTGCATCCAAACTGTCCAGGTCGAGCTCCACATCTGAAAACGGGAGACAAACAAAGATAATCAATTTCAACATAGCACTTATTCGTAGGAATGGGTGAAAATAAATTGGTTTAAACTGAATGGGAAATGAATTTGTCAGAAGTCCTTCGGGTGATGCATTCGGAGTTAGTCAATGAAACGTCATTCCTCGAAAAAATCAAGGAACATTGGCTCTGACTGAGAGCAAAGAAGCGTGTCGGAGAAAAAAGGGTAACTAGGAGGCGCTTATTTTTATTGACGTAAATGGCCCACTTTAATGGGATACGATACTCGAAGGGTCTCCGTTTTTTTAAAAGGAGCCAATTTCGGGACTATCTAAATTAAACCCCACGAAGGGATAATCGTTAAAAAGACAAAAAGGAACAAGAGACCATGCAAATGACTAGTGGAAATGAAGGCGCCCTGGAAATACACCCAAAAGTTCGGATTGGTAGTAGCAACCCTCCTGGTAATAAACCAATCATGTCGCAATCAAACCCGCAATGTGTTTAATGGCCAAATAGGAAGTGAGAGGAAAAAGTAAACAACGGGATTACCTTTTATCGCGTCAAAAAGTGCTGTATCTTCAAGATAAAGAATTAAGAGAACTATATCAAATCGCTGGCCTACACAAACAGACAGCAGGGACGAAATTAGCAGGTAGCGCCTTCTTTAAGTTATTTTTGAGATGAAAAGGAACGCTTGTAACGTACCAATATCTGCATCGCTATCCACGTCTGAGGGCTCAGAATCTGAACCGGTGTTAGGTTTCTTCGTCTGCAAGGGCAGTCCCGATTTTCCAGCGACGACTTCTCCTTCGTCGTATACAAATCCGATGGCTGCCTTGGGTTCCAGCGACCTAAACATCAGTATCTCGTTTGTGAAGGTGCAAGCAGAAACACAGCAATACCACATGAGCGATAATTATGCAACCGCGGTGAAAGAAAAGAACGCAAGTGTTTGAATGACCATCCCCATTAAAAGCACATTCGCGTTTAATTCGCCCGATACATAGAGGAATAATAGCCTAAGAGGCCATAGTATCGTTGCGGCCAATGCACAACGGATCCGGGGAAGTAATAAGCTACTTAAGTGCCTCGCCTAGTGGAACATATAAGCAACAGCATACTTTTTATCCTTGGAATCTTCTTCGTGTTTCTTTGTCAATGTGTCACCGTATTTCTCTTCTCTTTCAATCTGCTTGAGAGCCATCGACTCAGTAACTGAAAGTGAAGAGAAATTACACGCATTGATTGGCCGGAAATATGGAGCATTCTACAGATACAAAATTATGCTAGTACCTCCAAGAAAGTCATTATGCGCAAGACATCTGTAGCGCTCGTAGTTGCACAGACGTTCTTCGATTTTCTCCTCTGTGGTCCGCCTGTCAAAACAAAAGTCGGTTATCGATGAGAAAATAAAGGCATCACAAAAAAAGAACGTATATCACTTAATGTTAGTAGGCTTTGTCGATGAATAAGTTTCGAGATTCGCTCTAGCATCAAAACGGTCGATCAAAACGGATGGATCAGCCGTCCAAGGCATCCTAAGAAAAAAAAGACTTGTCGTAGAAAAAGTACATCAGTCAAAGCGAGGACTACATAAGACGAACCCTCCACCTTACGAAACTCTCAAAGCAAATATCCACATTAATCACACATATCACAAAGGGCACACCCACATGTTTTTCGGATTCTCTGCAGCTTTTCGGACCTCTACATCGAGATTGATTTTCGCTTGTGTACCATAAACTCGGAGAAACTTGATTGGATCTTGACGCTAAAAAGTGCGCTAGTTTGAGGGTTCAAAATTACGATTTGGGAGTAAAAATTCAACCGCCGCTCAGCTCGTTTTCGGTAATCAACCAGAACGGACCGGATGTGCCTTTCATGCTTCCTTGCCTCCTGCCACATTCAGACAAAACGCGAAGCGAAAATATTCCCGGGCACGCGTGAAGGAGTAGGCGAATAAAACAATGTCGATAAAAACTGGTTAAGCCCATAATTTTGAGTAGCAATATGTTAATATGCTCCATATCTAGCTTATCATATTTATTTAAACTTGTGGATGTGAGGAGCAATCAGAATGCTGCTGTAGTTTAACCCTTGTGTTTTAAGAAAATTTACTTTCTAACAGCAAGCCTTAGGAACTTTATAATGGCCACTTTACTTTTTGTGGCCAATCCAGCAGGAGGCTTTTCACCTGAATTCGAGTTTCAGATGAGTTAAGTAAAATTTACGAATTATGCTTTATTTGCCTGCTTTTATATGTGGAATTAAACTGTGACAATTTGGTTGCCTTTTAGCACAGATGCTTAAACGGTTTGCCGTGTTTTATGTGGGATGGAATTCTTGATTCGCGTTTTTCTCGACAAAACTGTTTAACCAAATCCGTTTCCTTACCTATTTTTCTTTTTTTTTCAAACGCATTTTGGGATGAAGATGCCTACATTTGGTATTATTTTGCTATGTCAGCGCGTCAATATTATTTGATTGGAAGGGGTGATATTAGAAACCTTAGACGCTGAGTTTGTTCGTTAGTTACATTCGTCCACCGTTCGAATTAAAACTACAGGTCTTTGAGTATTTCAGACTTGTAGCTTCAGATTATATTCAAGCCGCTATTAAATGCAGTTATTTAAAAATATTTCCTTTGGTGGGCCAATGTCCTCATCATACTTGTGTTTTCTTTGTCTTCCAGGTGTGAATGGAAGGCGCGATTCTAACCTCCGTAGATCATCACTTCGAGGACCATGAAGGAATAGTAAGCCATTCATACGAATATCTGTGAACAACTTTCCAACGTAGGCTTCCTACAAATCCCTCTCAATCGCCTTTGGGTGGAGTTTGGAAGAATCTCAGAAGTAGGGTTTTTTACTTGGACTTTCGAGTGCCTTAGAAACCTCGAAGAATACCTTAAGAAGCATCCACATTTACATGCCATCTACTGTGTTAGCGGCTTTCATGCCAATCCCGAGGGTGAATGGGTACGATTTTCCACTATCAGATGAAATTTCTCCTTTTTAATATTAGGAGTATGTTGTGCGCCTGACTAAATCAGCGGATAACGACGATAACAATGATCTAGTAAATCCATCAAAACATATCTATTCCCTTCACAGAGGCGAAACAACAGTAGGTGAAATAACATTCTATTCCTCTACTTTTTTGTGTTTTCAAGAACCTCATGGCTCTGGCTTGTTTTGACAACTCTCTCGACCAAGATCTCGTTTCCCATCCCGTGTATGTTTACTCTCTCCATTCTGATTCACCGTTTTGTTCCTGGCAGATTAGTTTCTTTTCCGTGGCAGCCGTGCAATCGCACAATTTCAAATGCAAAGCCAGAGCGGACGTTAGCAGAGTCATCTACTGTGAAGCAAGAACCAACTCCAACAAAGCAGAAGTCTTCACCATCATCATCATCAGCTGCCACCGCTTCAAAGTCTGCTGCATCTCTTACTAGAACTGCTGCTCCTGCTCCAAAAAGACTTTCCACTAAGCGGCAACCGAAGTCGTTGGTGCAGTCACGTTTCAAAATCGAGGCGAAGAACCGGTATGTGAACAGTGGAAAATGCAAGAAAATCATTTCATTATCACCATTATGCTTCATCAGTGTGGAGGTCTCGTGGAGTTACTTAAGGATTTTGTTCTCTCTTAGCAGCAACTTTTAAGGGCTCTCATGTTTTCAGAGCCACTTTATTATTTTTTTTAAATACATACCTAAAGTGTGCTATTCTTAACTGTTCTCGGTACTTCTGCCAATCCTTCCGTGAATTCTAAAGTATCAAAGAGTTCTGTTAGCCACCTCCTTACTCTAGTGAATCCCACAAGACGACACCAGTACTGGAGCCCAGTGCCGACCCCCTTGCGGACTCAAAGGAGGACGACTTCTC